CTGACTGGTACAGGAGGTGATTGTTCCTCCTTCTTCAGCAGAGCATCTGGTGGATTTGAACTGCGCACCTCTGGGATTACAGTGCAGCTTCTTGCCATTAGGCCACCAGAGCTTGCCACTTTTTGCCATTTCTCAAAGAAGTTAGTAGATAAAGCTATCCTCTCCTCTGGGTCCATTTAACTCACCTACAAAATGGGCTAGGAACACTTGGTATCACATAGCAAATTCCTCCATTCAGGCAAAAGGACCTGTGATTGAAACCACAGGGCTCTTCATGATCTAAAACATACACAAACACATACACAAATGAAATACAAAAAAGCAAGCTAACACTTTTGTGATTCAACAAGGAATAGGAGTTACTATTCTTAAAAATTAGAATGAAATAATTCTCAAAATGAAGAATTTTATCTTATTACTTCACAAGCAGAGATTCCTATTCTTTTGGGAATATAACCATTTCTAAGCTATATAACAGAAATAAGGAATCTTTTTTTCAGGAGGAGATAATCAGGGTCTTGGAATCTACATTGGCCTTTCTCATTCCATACAGATCTGTAGTTTTGCTTAGAACAACCAAAGAGATATATTTAATGCTTCAATCCTTTTCTTCCTCTCTGGACCTCCCCACTTTCAAGGGTGTAGGTGTCGATCTTTCCTATTAGATTTCAAATATATTAAAATCTCATACTGCTACTGAAAAAAAATGAAATAATTGAAATAAATTCTAATTATAAAAATATATTTCCGAACATTTCTATATATAGTAATCTTAACATCAAAACACCAAAAATAACATAACCTTGGAACATCTAGACTTAAAAGAATTTAGCTAGTAACTGTAAAGACATATCTAAAGTTCAAAAATAACATTAAAAACCTAAATCACTGCTGGATATATAACCAGTGTTCAGAATACTGTTGTTGTTGATTGCCATCGAGTCGAGCATAACTCACAGCGACTCTATGAACTAAAGACCTAATGCCTTCCATAACTATTGTCATTTCTACAAGTTCATAGAGTTTCCAGAGGCATGTGGTTTAGGAAGTGAACGCCACTCCTGCTTCCAAACCTGTTTTACAATTGGGAGCTCTACCAAACACTGTCCACATTGGGAAACCATTCTGGTATTTGATACCCCAATGGTACAAGATTCAGCATCACAGCAACCCAGGTTACTTCACACTGCACATTGACAAAGAGTGATGTACAAAGTGGAAGAGTGTTCCTCCAGATATAACAGCACTAGTTTCATTCAGCAGTGGTTAAGTGTCAGAATATTAAGGGGGGGCGGAAATCTCCATCTCTCTTGTTCCCTTACTTCTCTCTACCTTGCTGTCTCTTCATTAACCTTCTCTCCCATTAAATGCCTTTCATTTCACTTATGATCATCAAAGTCATTGTAAAAAAGAAATTAAATAATACTATTAAATTAATGGAATCTTTATACTCTGGTTTATAATTAGAGGAACATAACAATTATTGGATACTTTATCTCTTAACATTGATGAGGGAATTACATTGCTTTAATATTATGCACTGTTGCTTCCTGATTGTTTTTGTCTACAAAATGGCCCAGAATTATCTAATGTGAAGAATAAAATGGTGTGGAAACTCCTATTAGGTATTGAATGTCACAGTTTTGTTTTGTTTTTTTTTAAATGACACTAAGTTTTTTTTAAAAATCACCTAACATATAATACAAAAACATTAACAGTTAAGAACTCATTGTTAGGGTATCTTACCCAGATGTCTATACAATCTATATTTGAATTTTAAAAACAAATCATTTGCTTAATAATTTTTGAAGAACTGTTTTCAACCAGTTCTCACCACATTTTAACCATAATTGTACAAAAATGTAAAGAGGAAAACTTAATTACAAATAATTTAAGTGAAAAAAAGAAGCTCAAGATTTTTTCCTTTTTATATAATTCATTAAAACCATACTTTACAGTCATACTTCTTTATAATCAACTTCCAACAATACTTACAAGGTTTTCAGGAATAATTAGGCTAACAAGTAAAAATCTCAATATTATATCACATTAGAAGTTGTTATATTGTTTCCCACTGAGAATGGAATGCAAATTTACTATAGAATGTTTATTGTAACTGAAATTAATATTCTCATTTTTAATGGAATTATAACTAGATATATCAGAACAACCTGATATTTTTACCCATAAAGAAAACTCACTTAACCTGACTCCTTATCTTGGAATCTATTTTAACTGTAATTATTTGAAAAGTTATCAAAAGACACAGAATAAGCTAGCAGTTATCAGCTTATGAAAATCATAAACTATAAAATATGCAAGTCTAAAAATATTTAAAGATCAAAATACATAAGATTTTTAAAAAACAAATTCAGAAGGAGAGAGAAACACAGCCTTCTGTTAAATATACTTTCTTTTTCTTGTCCTATTGCTAAAAGACACACATTAATGAAAGTAAAACTTGTAAGAAATTACCTGTTGGCATCTTGGTGTTCAAAGTTTCATTCTTGAACAAAAGACCAGAGTTGAAAACAGAACCTAAAAAGGTTTAAAATTAATAATTCAGAAAAACAGAATCTTCTTTTTTAGGACATTATAAAATGACAAATACTCTAACAACATTTTTTAGGTTGAAAATAATTAAGACATATATATGTTTTTCTGGCTAGAATATATATTTTTTATAGTTTTAAATTAATCAAGTTTAAAAAGATAAACATTTGCAAAGTATACATTTGAAAAATAAAAACCCATAAATACTATAAATAAAAATAATTCCCTAAATAATATAATATTAATCTTTCCCTGGATAAAAATTTAGTACGTTTAACTTTTAATGAACATTTTTAATGCTGTATGTCATGAGATTATACTTGAATGTATGAATTTGCAAGTACAAATGAATGACCTAAACTGACTTTGTTTTCCATAAGATTGTCTAATCTGAGTTTCAAGTAAAATCAGTAATTTAAAGATTTTTTCTTGAGAATGACCCTGAAACACTACGGAAAAATATTTAAAGCATTTAAAATCTTTGCATTTCTACATAAGTTTTAAGATGTTTATAAAAGTAATCTTAAATATACTGTCAACTGCACATAACATTTACCAAGCTATATATGACTTTCACTTAAAAAAAAAATCCCGGCAAAACAAAGAAGCTAATGAGACATGCTTTTTTGTCAAGTTATCTGAACAGAAACAAAAAAAAAAAAAATTGAACAGATGAAGAATTTATACTTACAGTATGTTTATAAACTCTCAATTCCATTTTACAAAGGGATTTACTAACTTCAGCTCAAAGACTTTGAAACAGAAATACTTTCCTACTCAACACTTTCCTACTAAACACAGGTGTACTATCAAGGTCTTCTCCCAAAGCCAACTCTCCCTCACTCAGAAAAGGAAGGAGGGGAGAAAGGAAAGAAAAAGAAAGAAAACATAAAACCTCCATAAATTGTAAGTGAAATGATCACTGGGCTCACCATATAGGTTTATTTCTTTCCTGACAGTGCTTACCTCAAAACTTACATTTATTACAAAAAGTAGAGTTTTCTGGATATATGTTTCAAGAGTTTTTGAAAAGTGCAGACTACAGCAGCTGTGTGTTACACATTAGAAATGATGTAAAAAAATTTGATTTGTATGGTTGCAGCATACAGTGTGGGCGAGGCTAAGACAAAGATAAAGGTATGCACAGAGGTCAGGCACCAGCTGAGTGAACTACCTCATTTCATATCTACATGTTCAGAGTTGCAAATGGAGAATTTATTCAGAAATGGGGTTTTACCCAGTTGGATTCCCAAATCACTCATTTTTAGAGTTTGAAGTGAAATACATTTTTAAACTCCTTACTTATTTTCATGTCTGAATAATTCAAGAGTTTGTAGGAAAACGGAATTTTTAATGTGGAGCTAATTGGCAATTGTCCCACAAGATTTTTCTTTAAAAAATGGAATCTCCTTACAAAGCACATTAAAACATTTATATAAATGATGACTTGCACACTTGATAAAATGAAAAGTAGGCAGTACTTTCCAGTAATTGTAATAGAACACAGACCATAACAACAAGTTTAATCGGAAATATATACATGAAATGAGTATCATAATTAATGAACTCAATTAATACTACTACAGACTTACTATATGCACTCAGGAAAGCAGTAAGTTTAAAAGGGGGGGGCTTAAACATAGAGTTGCAGAATTTGATGGGTGAAGGGAGGGATTGGTAAAGAGAAGAGGGAAAGGTCCGGTGTGAAAAACAATATATAAGAACTTTGTATGTAAAGCAGTATAGAAGAAAATTTTTTTAAGAAATTTTCTTTAAATCATACTTTTTAAATACTGATGAAGGTACAGGATTCTTACTCATAATTATGTAATATATTCCAAGCAAATAGTTACCTTTTCTAAACCACAATTCAGACACTATTACTTGACTGAAGTACAACATTAAAGCTAGTGCATTTTTTTAAAGAAAACAAATCTTTATATTTTCTTGTAATGCAAAGTTGCATGGTTCAAATCCATTAGCTGCTCTGCAGGAGAAAAATGGGCAATCTCCTCCCATGTGATTTCCTTCCTCTGAAAACCCACATCCAGTTCCAACCTCGCAGTACCCAACAACAATATTACCTCCTATACTAAAGACAATTTTTACATTGTTATTATATATGCAAATATAATATTACTCTGTAGTGGGAAGAAGTTGCTCTGCCATTCCAAAGGCACATGGATTTAATCCAGCAGCTCTTCTGTGGGAGAAAGATGTGCAATCTCCTCCCATGTGATTTACTGCCTCTGAAAACCCACTGGTGGGTCAGCTATGTGTTAAGTTCTGATTTGATGGTATACAACAACAACATATAAATAATTTTAACTTATAGAGTTTGAAAGTATCCTTTATCATTTTCATTTGAGCCATGGAAAGATGATGCTTTCTATTAATAAAAAAATTTAAGTAAATTATCTATAGGAAGTAATGTGTTATTTCATCTATGATATTCAAGATGTATTTAGGAGAAAGACCATGGTAGATGTTTGTTTCCTATTGGTTATTTCTAAACAATACAAATAAACTTAATTGGGATCATATAATTTTAGAATCTGATGAATTACAAACTAACTTTGGATTCTAAATAAAAACCCTGGTCTCTGAAAAGAATCTGTCCACCTGTTTATAAAAAAACAGGTACGAAGTACCTTTCCGTCCTTAAATAAGACACTGTCTCATTGGGTGGGCAATAATGTTTTAGGTTGACTCATATAAACCATAGCTGGACTTATAAAACTGTCAATTTCAGATTACCCAACCTATTATATTACCATGTTGTTGTTGTTGTTGTTGTGAGCACAACTCATAGTGACCCTATGAACAAAAGGCCTGAAGCCCCTCTACAACTATTGACATTTATCAAAGGTCATAGAGTTTCCAGAGGCATATTGTTTAGGATACCACTCCTGCTTTCAAAATATATTATGATGGATACACATACATTACTATACTAACACATATAAAAGGAATACTTAACTGTTAAGAAGAGTCAGGGAAAGAATCCAAGAGGAGGCAGTATTTGTGCATAGGCCTGAAGAATGAGTAGGAGTTTGTAAACAGGATGGACATTCCAGGCAGAGGTTACAGCATGCCCAAAGGCAAAGACGAAATAAAAATGTAGTGTGCAGAAAACTGTAGGTAGACCAGCAGGCTGTGATGCGGGCAGTGTGTGAAAGGGAATGTCTGTGGGTCTCAAAGAGGGGGAGCTAACAGGCAGAGTGGCAAGAATGTTGTTCTTATGTCAAATCAACCACAATTTACAGATTCTTTCAACAACAAATCAGAACCTTGCCTATCCCATGCCATTTTCTTGACCTCTCCCATGCTCAAGTCTACTGTTGCAGTCACTATTTCACTAGGGTCCTTCTCTCTCTCATTGACCTTCCACCCTTCCAATGATTTATAAACCCAACATATATGACACAAAGTTTCAACATCCTTGCTTCTGAGGATCATCCTGCATGCTGGTTATACTTATTCCAAGACAAACGTGCTTCTTCTTTTGGCAGTTCATGGTATATACAATACTCTTTACCAGTATCACGACTCAAAGGTTGGCCCAGTGGTGAGGATTTCTGTTTTCTTGAGTTCAGATATATAACCCATACTGAAGGCTGTAGTCTTTGATCTTATAAAGTAAGTGCTTCAAAATTCCTTACTTTCTGAAAGCAAAGTTGTATCATCTGCATAAAGCAGGTTGTTGATAAGTTTGAAAAGTTTTCCTCCAATCCATTCTTCTTCATATAGTCCAGCTTCCTGAATGATTTTCTCACCACAGAGATTAAATAAGTATGTAGAAAGAATACAATTCTGACGCATACCTTTCCTGATTTGAAACTACACATTGTTCCTTGTTCTGTTCAGACAACTGCTTCTAAGGCTATGTATAAATTTCACAAGAGCACAATTAGTGGTCTAGGATTCCCATTCTTCTCAATGTTAGCCATAATTTATTATAATCCACACAAACACTCCTCATAGTTAATAAAATACAAGTAAATATTTTTCTGGTATCCTCTGCTTTCAGTCAAGATCTATCTGACATCAACAATCATCCCTGGTACCATATCACAATCTCTTCTGAATCTAGCTTGAATTTCTAGAAGTTCCTTGTTGATGAACTGTTCTGGCCACCTTTAAATAATCCTCAATAAGATTTTACTTCCACATAATATTAATGATAATGTTTAGTAACTTCCACATTCTGTTGGTTCACCTTTTTTTTTAAACAGGAACAAACATGGATCTCTTCCCAACAGTCAGGGAGCTGTCTTCAAAATTTCTTGGCATAGGCTACTAGGCACAGCCAGGGCTGCATCTGTTTACTGAAAACAAACCTCAAATGGTACTTTATCAATTCTTGGAGCCCTTTTTATTTTTGCCAATGCCTTCAGAGTCAACAACAGACAGTAGAAAACAGTTAGGCTCTGGATTCTAGATTTTACTTTAAATGGAGACAGGTAATCTCTAGAGGTTGTTATGAATTGCTTCCCCCAAGAAGACATGTTGAAGTTCTAACCTTGTATCTGAGAATGTGACCCTATTTGGAAACAGTGTCTTTGAAAATATTATCAGTTAGGTTAACATTAGAATGTAGTGGAACAGAGTGGGTCCTAAATCTGTATGACTAATGTTCTTATGAAAAAGGAGACAATACATCAAAATAGGGAGGTGGAGGAAAGACAGTCATGTGACAGAGGCAGACAGATGCATTGGCAAGCCAAGAACAGCAATCTGAAAAGGAAATGAAGAAAACAATTCTATTTATAATAGCATCTAAAAGAGCAAAATACCAATAAATAAACTTAATCAGGGATGTGAAAGACTTATACAATGAAAGTGTAAAACATTGCTGAAAGAGATCAAAGAATCTTTAAATAAATGGAAAGACATTCTGTACTTCTAGATTAGAAAACTTAACTTGGATAA